ATCATCGCTAAACGCAACGCCGACCGCCACCGCAGACCTGTCACTTACCAGCCCGACGACTTAGTTTTACTTGACACTCAGAACCTCCGACTGCCCATCACCTCGAAACTCCGCCCCCGATACTGCGGGCCATTTCGCATAAGCCACATGCTTACACCCGTCACCGCCCACCTCCTCCTCCCTGCTGACTGGTACGTCAGCCCCTCATTCCACGTCAGCCTACTTCGCCCTTACGTCCCGTCCACGAGCCAACTGCCACGCAATCGCCCAGCCAGCATGACAAGACCACCAACTGAACCAATCATCACCCCCGAAAAAATCCTGAGTCACAGAGTTCGCGACCCTCGAGGAGCCCGAAGGATCGAGTTCTTACTCCGCTGGAAGGACCGTAAACCCACCGAAGACAATTGGGTTCCCCTGGACAGAATCGAAAACCACCCCGTCCTCACCGAGTATCTGCGCAGCCGAAATTTCAGGGATGTACACGCACTTTCGTAAGGAGGACCTCCTTAGGGGGGGGGGGGGGGGGTAGTGTAAGGAAAATTCCTTTTCCTTACTTCGCATCCCTGCTCAACGCGTACATCACTGTAGCACCACAGTCAGCACCGTTACCACTCGCAACCCTCGCATCGACAATCCGCCCGCCACCTTCGCACATCGCACCCCGACCTCACGGCTCGGCGGGTAACTCGCGCTCCGGGCCTCCGCTTCGACACTTTTTCCCAACCTCAGTCCCAGGCCCGTCGCGCGACAACCACAGTCCATTACCGTTACCACTGTAGTTTCGCTATATATTCTTCGCTCATGCCTTCGCTCATTGTACTCTTGCTTCGATAGTGCAATTCTCGTTCGTTCACTCAATTGCACTCGTAACATGTAGAAACTTGTACCGTACGTATGACATGGGAAAAACATGCTTGAATAGTTCAATGAGCTGGATACCAAAAAAAAAAAAAAAAATCAACTGGTACCGTGCGTTGTGGAAAAAGCGGAGTGCAGGTGATCTGGCCCTGGTTATGCAGCAAAGCAAACCTCATTCATACCCGTGACCCGTCCTGTAGCTCTAGAATGAAACCACGACAAGTTACTAGATTTGATATGGCACGGTCAGGTGGATACATTCAGAAGCCTGTGAAGAGCATTGGGTACGTCCGGCAAAGTCCTGAGGACCACAGCTGCATAGATGGGATGGGATGGGACGGGATGGGATGAAAGGTGAGGTGAGTAAACCACGTGGCAGTACGGTACTACCAACAAGCTAGCTAGCAAGCATTAATACGTTGAAGAAACGTGTGAGGCTGAGCTCACAAATAGAAAGGACAGGTGGGAAAGATGATGTGATAAAGGATCAGGGAAGGGGCGGGACGGGAAGGTGGGGTGTTTGAAAGAGGGGGTGAGGGGAGGCTTACAACGGACAGCAGAGCTCCATGCTTGAAGTTGGGACGGAAGGACATGGCAAGAGGTGCAACTGGTTGCTCCCCTTCTCGTGTCACAGGTGGGGATGGTGGTGGCGGTGGTGGGGAGGAGGACGATGATGCCACAGGTTGCGGTGGTGGTGGTGGCGGTGCTGCTGTTGACGGGCCTCGAATCACACCCCTGTGATCATGGAGGGGAGGGAGGGAGAGAGGGCGAGAGGGAGGGGGAGTTGAGGATACGACAAGTGGAATTGGCAGCAGGCAGTGATGAGGGGGATGATGACGGTAGGGCGATGGTGGTGGCACACGCTGTTACTTATGGGCTTACACAAATGAGACAAGTTGGAGAAACGAGTTTAAGGGAGTTGATAACAATCTGTGCATCTGATGTTGGCTCTCATGTCAGGTTGTAACGCATCCATTCGTAAGTGGGAGTTATTATGAGCAGATGGCAGGACGGGAGGAGAGATGAGACGGGAAGAGAAGAGACATGAGAAAAGAGCAGAGACGAGGAGAGATGGGGAAAAAAGAGCGGAGAGATGCGGAGAGATGAAGAGAGAAGACGGGAGACGAGAAGAGAAGAGAAGAGATGAGGCTAGGGAAGAGGAAAAGAGTGGGTGGGGGGGTGGGGAGTGTTACAAGAGGGAGGCGGTGAGGATGGGTGCGAGGTGAGTGTCAAAGAGCGCGACCAGTCCAGCCGTGTCCATGCGAGCTGAGGAGAAGGAGAGGGCCAGGCGCCTGCCGGTGGCATCCCATGCCATGTCCGTCACTCCTCTGTTCGAAGACGGATGGGAGGGATGGGAGGGATGGGAGGGGTTGGAGGGGTTGGAGGGGTGGGAGTGGCAAACGCAGCGAGCTTAAGAGGAATCCAGTGTCAGCAAGGGAAGGCGATTACCAAACCAATTTAACAACCCAAACGAAAGGATATCAGTCCAGACCCGCGTCCAAGACGCCGCGCATCCACACAGACAGACTCGTACAGACTCGCACAGGCTCAACGGACTCACCCAAAGGTGGATAATTCAGGGGGGCTCATGGGATCGATCATGAGTGAGGCAAGGTCTGGCAGCTCCAGAGGCAACACGTGGATGTCTGGCGCAGGGGCAGGCACGGGCGGAGAAGGAGGCAAACGAAAGGCAAAGATGGGCATGCTTCTGCTAGTTTGATTTGAGCTGAATGTCTGGTTTCGGAATGATACTCGTCTCGAGTATCGTTTCGAGATGTGTAAAAAACGGGTGCAGAAGAGTAGAGTAGAGCATGGCTGTGTGCAGCCAGCCAGGGCACGCACTGGTGCGAAGAAACAAAGAACAGCCGCAATTTCTTAAGTTTCTGAGTAGCAGACAAGGTTGAGGGAAGCGGGTGGGGGGAGATGGGAGGGGGAAGTGCGGGGGATAAGAGGACGGCAGGGAGTGGGATAATGGGGGGCGGCTTGTGATTACCAAGTGCGGGAGGCGAGCGCGCAATGTGCACTGCGGCAAGAGTGGGCGTGGAGTGGAATGCGAGGAGCAGCACACGGCTGTCAGGACTCCACGCTGCTGCCTGCACGGTAGGAAGAGTGAGGGAGGGGAGCAGCGAACTCTTTTTAGAGGTGCATGTAAAACATTAAGGTGCCTGCAAATTCGTTTCTAGATGTGAGAAAAAAAAAAGAAGATTGACAATGGATACAGGAAGGAGGAGGGCAAGGGAGGCAGGCGGGCAAGCAGGCATTGGATGCATGCATGGGTGGGAGGGAGTGAGCTCACGGTGATTTGCTGTTCGCCTACCGACCACTGTTGGCATGTCCACGACTCTGTCTCCCACACGTGGAATGTGCCATCGCTGGTGGTGCAGTGCGGTTGCAGCCGGTGGGAAGAAAGCGAGAGAGAGAGAGAGGGAGGGAGAGGGGCGTAGAGGAACGGAAAAGGAGAAGAGACAGGAGGATGCGAGAGGTGAATTGGGGCAGGGCTTGGTATGCTGTGAACGAAGCTTGGTATGCTGTGAACGAAGCTTGGTATGCTGTGAACGAAGCTTGGTATGCTGTGAACGAAGCTTGGTATGCTGTGAACGAAGCTTGGTATGCTGTGAACGAATCTTGGTATGCTGTGAACGAAGCTTGGTATGCTGTGAACGAAGCTTGGTATGCTGTGAACGAAGCTTGGTATGCTGTGAACGAAGGACTGGGAAGTGATGGGGCGACGGAGAGGGGCTGGTCCAGGTGTTGGTTGGTACATCTCATAGGTGCACACTCTAGTATGAGATGTAGCGAGCAGAGAAGATGTGAAACGTATGTATTTGTATGTATCAAGCTACTCCCGACTCCCACCCACCCACGTGCGTTAAAGCAGGACGGGAAAGAGCAGAGAGGGTAAGAGCAGAGAGGGCAAGAGCAGAGCAGAGAAGAGGAAGATAGAGTCGCACAAGAGGCAGCTGAAGAGGCAGTCCCCCCGGGGTGACCAGTGCAGCATCTTCACCCCTGCAAAGCCACGGCGCAATGGCGTTGCCACACCTGGTGTGGACGGGCAGAGGAGGTGAAGCATGAGGGCGAGAGGGAGAGGGAGGGAGGGCGGGAGGGAGGGAGGGAGAGGGAGGGAGGGAGGGAGGGAGGGAGGGAGGGAGGGAGGGAGGGAGGGAGGGAGGGAGGGAGAGGGAGGGAGGGAGGGAGGGAGGGAGGGAGGGAGGGAGGGAGGGTCGGAGGATCGGAAGGAGGCAGATGCGAGCAGTGAGTCATGGGAGAGGAGCAGTAGGAGCAGCAGGAGCAGCAATAACACGTGATGATGGAGTGGCAATGAATGGTTGAACATGAATGAACGCATGTTTGAGCAAACTAGCAGCAGACAAGGTGCAAAACCTTTTGAACATGGAACCTCAAGAAGGAAGTTGACAGCAGTCGGGTGTGTGTATATAATAAGGTACCTGTGGCAACGTCCCATATCAGGATGGTTGATGATGCGTGTGATGCTGACGCTAGCAATGTGTGACAGAGCAACACCAAGAAAGATCGCGAGTGGAGAGCATTGGGGATGGAGGAGGAAGAGGAGGATGGGTAGGAGGAAGGAAAGAGGAGGAATGCGCAGGCAAGAAGGAGAATAAAGCGAGTTAAGGAAGAACAGGCTTTTGAGGCGCCTCAAAGGAAGAACAGGCAGGTGTAGGAAGGGAAGGGGCAGGAAAGGAGCTGGAAAGGAGGAAGAATGAAATGAATAAGGATGAAAAAGGAGGCAAGGAGCAGCAAGGGGAAGCAGAAAACAGCAATGGGAAAGAACAAGACGAGTGAGGAGCAAAAGCTGGGAGTGTTCGAGGGATACAGGGCGGAAACGAAGTAGCAAACAACAGGAGTGAGCAGGCAAGGCCGAGAAAAAACAGAAAAAGAGCAGAGCAGAGCAGCGCAGGGCGGAGCAGAGCAGAGCAGAGCAGAGAAGAGAAGAGCAGGGCAGGGCAAAGCAGAGCAGGGCAAAGCGGAGCGGAGCAGAGCAGGATATCTGCCACATGGGCTGAACGCCACACTAGTGACCGCCCCTTGCTGCCGCTGCGGCGAGCTGGCAAGAAACTGCATACACGCCGGCACCACACACCCCCTTCCACCGCTCCCCACACCTCCACCTCCTCCTCCTACTCCCCATCCCCCCCCCCCTCCCCCCACTGCTCCCATGCTGGCCCCTGTGATGCCGGATAGAGCTGTGTCTCCCCCAGATGGCCCCTCCACCAGGAGAGGCCCTGCCAGGTTCCACAGGCAGATGCCCGCCCTGAGAGCAGCACGCAGTGGTGGTGGCATGTGGAGGGCGGGGGTTGTGTGGCGGGGGAGGCGGGGGTGTGGTGGGGGGCCCGGGGGAGGTGGGGGACATAGAGAGGGGGAGGTTGCAGACGAGTGATGGAGGAGCAGGAGGGGGGCACGTAGAAGGAGTGGGGGAACGGAGGACGGGGAACAAGGAGTGGGGGAACAAGGAGTGGGGGAACGGAGGAGGGGAAGGAAGGGATAAGAGGAGGGGGAAGATACGAAATGAAAGAGGAGGAACGCCTTGCAATGCCAGAATGTAATGCCACCCCATCCCATGTCATGCCCCATCCCAATCATCCCATTCCATGCCATCCCATGCCATCCCAATATCCCATCCCATCCCATCCCAACCATCCATGACACGACCCATCACCCACCCCTGTCCCCTCCCATTCACTCCCCCATATCTCCTCGCATCTCCCAACACCGCTTTCGATGCCTCACCTGCACGCCACAGCCAGAGTGGCGCCTGCCTTGGGCCGCCAGTCAACACACGACACGTGGCGCTGCAGCTCGTGCAGAAGGATGGAGGGCGGTGGGGGGGAGAGCGAGGGACCTGGGAGTCAACAAGGGAAAGGAGAGCAGAAGTAAAAACGGAAGAAGTGGTGAGGTGAGAAGGGGGAAGGGGGAAGGGGGGAGGGTGGACGGGGGGGGACGGGGGTAAAGGCAGGCAGGCCGGACATCCTTGGCTGGACTGGCCTGCTATCCCGCCTGTATACCCTTTCAAAGAGCAGCACAGCAGACAGGCAGTGAGCACACAGGTGCACTGGCACATGCGCTCATGGGCAGGAGGGCAGGCGGGCGGGCGGGCGCGCAATAGATGCGAGAGGTGGAGGGGGCGGAAGGGACAGGGGTACCAAAATAACGAGAAAGGGAAGAGGGAAGTGAGGGAGGCAGGCTGGCAGGTGGGCGCCTGAGTGATTTTTTTAGAATTCTAAGGAATCTCTCACCTGAGTGCAGAGCAGAAGCATGGAGGTCGAAGAGAAGAAGGCGGTCGAGAGGGCCCGATGCGAGAAGGCGTGGTGAGAAGCGGTGCCATGCGATGAGTGGACGAGTGGGGGGAGGGGGAGGAGGGGAGGACGCGAGGAACGCAGGCAACTGCACGGATAGATAGTAGGCCGGGAGGAGGGGGGAAGGGGGGGGGGGGGGGGGGGGTATTGTGAAAGAGTTAAGAGACTTCGCATAATTTGGCTGTGTTTTGGGACGTCATAGAAGGTGGTGGGACGTCACAGAAGGTGGTGGGACGTCCCCAGAATGTGTAGGTAAGTAACCACAAGCACAAGGTGGTGGGAAGGGGAGACGGAGGGACGATGGAGAGTGGGATGCTAGGGGGTCCCTTCTCATTAGCAGAGGAAGGAGAGCAAGGAGAGGTTGAGGTCCCTCCCAATCCCAACCCCTCGCCCCCCTCACCATGTGCTATAACCGCATCACTGTGTCTGTCTGCTGCAGCATCCATCCAGGCGCCCCCATCTCCCTCTCTATCCCCCAACCCCCAGCTTTCGCCCCAAGACATGACAAAGACCGCAAAACTTTGAGTTGACTCAAGAATCTTCCGCCTCACTCACTCACTCACTCACTCACCATGTGCTGTAGCCGCATCACCGCATCCGCTGCAGCATCCATGAGCGACCCCCCACTCCCTCTCCGTCCCCCTCCTCCTCCCCCGGACCGACCACCAGACGCCACCACCGACGGCGAATACGGCGTTCCTGCTGCTGCTTTCCGCGCACTGCTGCTGCTCCTCTCCCCTTCCCCTCCGCCCGCCCCTGCTGATTCCGAAGGAGGCGTGGAGGGCGTGAGGGGAGTGGATGGGGATGCTGGAGCAGCGGCGGTTGCAGCAGGAGTAGAAGGAGGCGGGGTGGCCGGGGCAGGGGATGTGTGGGATGGAGTGGTGGAGGAGACGCCATAACCAGCAGCAGCAGCACCGCCACCAGATGCAGCAGGAGCAGCAGTGGGAAGAAGGGAGCCGTTGATTATGAGCAGAGGCGTGGACTCGAAGGCGAGATCCACTGGGTTCACTGCGGCCAGAGGAATGTCCAGTACTGCGTGGTGCTGTGCGGTGCAGGGAAATGGGGGCCAGTGGGAAGAGAGAGGGAGGGATGTGCGGGGAAAGAGGGGAAAGAGAACAGAGTGTGATGATACCACAGCGGAATGGCAGGTTGATGAGAAGAAGAGTAGTAAGTGATCAGGAAGGAACAACTGTTCCTAGTAAGTGATTAGGAATGGATGCACTAAGTTTGCTGCTGCTGCTGCTGCTGCTAAAGTGGTGCCAGCTGATGCACAAATTGTCTTTAAAATGTCATGGAACTGCAGAAATGTTCTCATGGCATTTTCGTACAAGCGCGATTAAAATGAGGGCAACGGATGGAGGATGGAGGCCCGCGACAACGACGAGGGATGGCTAGAGGGACACGAGGACAGCAATTAAGAGACGAGCGAAGGAACGGAAGGATCAGAAGGAAGGGGAGGAAGGGAATGGCGGAGGGAAGAGAGCAAGACACGGAAGGTGGTGGTGAGGGGGAGGGGAGAGAGGAGCGCAGGTAGTGACCATGAGATGTGTGTAGGCGTCCCGTGTGCTCGCATCCACATCTCTCCTGGATGTCACTGTCGTTTGAGAACATGCCGGGGAGACATTCGCATGCATGACATGGGGTAGGACGAGACGGGATGGGAAGAGAGCCGGAACGGGTTGTTATCATGATGCATGGTAGAGTGTGGCGTGGGGCGGTGTGGGTGTGGTCTAGGATGAGATGATGTGAAATGAAATCGTCTTCAGCCGGAGATTTCCGAATGTAGAGAGAAATTTCAGAAACGTTATGCAGAAAGAGGCTCTGGAACCAATCCCGCCATGAGCGCGAGGCGAATGCCGGAACGAGGCGGCGAGAATGCGAATCCGTTCATTCATGAAAATGCCATTACAGAACCCGACGCGACGGTTAATGAGTCGACTCGAAATCGAAATTCAACCCGATTCATCCATCCATGCATCGAGCTCGCAATCTAAGCGAACGCACGAAACCCACGGAAGTACAGTACGTTTGAGCAGTAACGCTTACGCAGAATTCCGTTCACTTCGCCGATCGTCTCCTCGCCCATCCGCGGCAGCATCGCCATGGCCGACTAGGCTGCTAACCCACGTATTCTTGGGCACACTTTAGCAAACGTTCAGGATCGTCGTAAAATCCACGGACTTGGTACTGCTGCTCAACTCAACTCAAAGCTGGACCAGAGTTGGCCAAAGCGTGGTGGTGGAAAAGGGGGGTGAAGAGAATGTGTTTGTCTGCACTGCAAGCAGCTCCGCGTTCCGATTCTACAAGTTCTATAGAATGATACACTTCCACCACTTAGCGTATAAGTAGGGTGGTAATTGTTTATACGCAGGTTTATGCAGCTATTTCAACCAGATCACGTAGAAGGGAGTGTGAGTAAAAGCCGCCTCACGCATCCCCGTTATGGGACAGAACAAATAGAGCAGAACGGCGATTCTTCGCGGATTCAGGCAAGCAGAATGCAGAGAACACAATCAATGGCAGATTTCGGATCATCCCACTAGTTACGCAAATCTGGAATGGGAGGCGTGGTGGAGGGGAGGTAATGTGGAGGGGGACTATCTCTTCCCGCAGCGGAGCAATGGTTTAGCGTATCGACGAGTACGGAAGCCTTTGGTGAGGGCTTGATGACCGGCTTTTGAAACGTGTCAGGAGTTCGATCACTGTCCGTCTCGATCTCTATCAATGGCGGCGACAACTCGGCGCGCTGCTAGCGTTGAGGACTTTCACAGCGGCAGCGGCGGCGGCGGTGGCGGCGGAGGCAGGAACTTGTACCAAGTCGTACGCGATATAAAGCGCGCCGAGTCCACCGTGTACAACGCGCTGCGCTCGATCCTTTTAGACGCGTCGTTCGTGCGCGAGATCCACGCCCTCTGGCCGTCGTTACCGTTGCTGGCGAACCTGCGCTGCGGGCTGTGGTACGCGCCGCCCGATGACGTGGCTGCCACGTGTTACTTCAAGTCGACGGATGGACACACGGGGAACTGGGATTTCAGCGCGACGCGGATGAACCTCCACGTGGCAGACATGGCAGGTCTAACCCCTCTTGTTCCTCCAATCATCTCTCCGCTTTCGCAGTCCCCCAACTCCCCGTCTCTTCCTTCCACCCCACCTTTCCCCCCGCACTCTCGTCACACCAGTCCTTCGACCTCTTTCCCCCTCAAGCCCCCCCTCCCCCTTCCCCCCGTTTCCCCCGCTCTCCCCTTCCCTCCCTCCCCGTCCTCCGTCCCCCTCTTCTCCCCCAACCCTTCCCCTCTCCTCCTCTGCTCCCCCTTCCCCCCTTCATTTTCTATATCCCGAACGGCAGCGCGCAGCGGCGGCGCGATGATAGTGGACGCGACGCGGCGGGGAAAGGTGTTTCCCGACAGCCTGTCCAAGACCATCCCCATCTGGGCGTGCGTCGTTAACCGCGCCGTGCAGCGCGTGCGCGCGCAGGGGAGAGCGCGGGAGGAGGGGGGAGAGCGGGGGAGGAGGGATGAGAGGAGGGAGCATGGGGAGAATGGGGAAGCTAGAAGCTGCGGGGAGGGCAGGACGGATGATACAGTCAGGGCGCAGAAGGGGAGCAGGGCGCATGGGGGAGGAAACACCGCTGCGGCCTCACCTGAGTCATTGTCACCCTCACCCCCGTGTGAGTCAACCCCAGCATGGGACGAGGCATTGCACCTGCCGCGGTGGGTGTCGAGCACAGAGCAGGCGAGCATAGAGCAGCGCCTGGATGCTTGGGTGGATCGGCTGGTGCTCATGGCTCCCCCTGCTGCCCTGCATAGACTGGCTTTTGGGGAGACACAGGGCGAAGAGGGAGAGGAGGGGGAGGAGAGAGGGGAGAGGGAGGAGGGGCGGGATGGGGATGGAGGAGAGGGGGGAGAGGAGGGAGGGGATTGGGAGAAGGGAGATGGGATTTGGGAAGGGCGAGAGGCGACAGGAGGAGCAGTAGAAAGGGAAGGTAACAAAAGCAGCAGCAGCAGCATCAACAGTGCTACCACCACTGCGAATAACAGCAGCGCAAGGAGAAGAGGCAGCAGCAGCGTGGGTAGATTGCAGAAACCGCTGCGAGTGCTGTGGGTGTCCCAGCTATCACTCATCTGGACGAATGAGGTACCCTTGCCTGACTCCCTCCCCTTCACTCCCCTCCTTCTCGTCTCTGCCTCCGCACCCTCCCCTTCCGGCTGCCCCCCTCCCTGCCCCTCGTTGTTATTCTTGGGCGAAGAGATTGGAACGATGGGGCGACTTGGGAGAGTGGGGCGGGTGAGGAGGAGCACGAGGAGTGGGGAGAAAGCGGAAAGGGATGGCGAGGAGGAGGGCGGAGAGGAGGTGGTGGGGAGAGTTGATAGTTTTGTCAGTGACAATGACAAGGACAGCAGCAGAGACAGTGAGAGCGATGAAGAGATGGACGAGGAGAGCTCATGGTATGACGAGCCGTGGACGTATATTCAAGGGGCGGGTGACGATGAGGAGAGCTGGGCAAGGGGGTTGACTCCGCAGTTGTTCTGGGGGAACTGCAGGGAGGTGCTTGGGGTAGGGGCGCGCGCGTGCAATGCTGCTGTTGCTGGCGTGGTGGAGAGGGAGAGGGTGAGAAGGCAGAGGAGAGGGGAGCATGCTCCGCAGGTGAGAGTGAGAGAGAGAGGAGGAAGGGAGAGGGGGAGGAGGGAGGGGGACGAGACGGGGAGAGGAGGGGGGGAATGTGGGGGAGGAGGTGCAGCGGAACGGATGCAGGGGGTAGGAAGGGAGGAAGTTGGCAGGGGGGAGGTGCGACGGGGGGAGGTAGACAGGGAAGGGGGAGTCAGTGGTTGCAGTGTGGGGCCAAGTTCAAATGACGACGAGAACTCGGTATTGAAGAGAAGTAGCAGTAAGTTAGGAACACAGGTGGAAGGACAAGGGAACGAGCAGGAGCAACAGCAGCAGCAGCAGCAGCAGGGGGCGGATGAGCAAAGAGGCAGCATGGGTTCAGATGGTGGGGATGGCGTGCACTGGATTGCTCATCTGCCCATGGCTGTGGCCGCTGCAGGTTAGCTAGTTCAGGCCCAAAGGGCCATGCGCTTGCATAACTTAGGACTCCTCCGGCTCTTGCGCTTGCTTGCTCTTGCTCTTGCTCTTGCTCTTGCTCTTGCTCTTGCTCTTGCTCTTGCTCTTGCTCTTGCTCTTGCTCACTCTTGCGCCTACACTTACCCCCACTCACACTAACTTACCCACTTACCCTAATGCTCCTTGCGTGCCGATCGTTCGTTCCTCCCAGTGCTCTGTTACCGATCGTGCTCCTCCACTCTGTTACCCAAATCCTCTTCAACTCCTTGACCGACTCTCTCTCTCTCCCATTTCTCTCTCCCCGCATCCCCCTCTCGATCAGCCAAGAGTGCAACTCACACCATCTATTCCCTTTTTGAATTCACTATACAAAATCATCTCCCCCTTCTTTTTCCCCCCATATTCATCTCAATCAGCCCACAGTGCAACTCACACCATCTATTCCCTTTTTGACATCACTTCAGAAATCATTCTTTCCTTTTTCTCACCTCCTCTCCGTCACACCACAGCACAAGTCCCGTCGTCCTTCCCGCGTTCCCTCTTGCCTCTCGCGGTGATAGCATGTGGAGTGGACCTCCCACCCGGGCTGCGAGCGCTGCTGGACAGCCAGACGCGGACCCACAGTGCAGCGTCTGGAGAAGGGGTTGAGAGAGAGATAGGCAAGGGGAATGTGGAGGAGAGTGGGGAGCAGAGTGTGAAGGAAGGCGGTTCAGAGCTGATACTGAAGAAGCAGCAGCAGCAGCAGCAGCAGCAGCAGCAGCAGCAGCAGCAGCAGCAGGAGGGTGGTGGTGAAGGCGTCTATGAGGAGCAATTTCACATCTCCCTACCTCTCAAGGTACACTGAAGCTAATTCCTCCCATTCTATCCATGAGGCCCGTTGTAAGCGTCCCTTTCACTCTCCTTCACTTGCACTCGCACCCCTCTCTCCTCTCCCAGACCTTGCCATCTTAAACTCGCATCTCTCTATCCATTTTCACTGCTGTGTTGCAGTCACTTTTGAGAAATCTCACAAGTCTATCCATTTTCACCGCTCCCACTCTTCAAAGATATTGTCGGAGTAAACTCAGATGTTCACACCTGCCGCTGCCACTCACCTTCATTTCTCCATCCTTCCTTCGCTTCTCCCCCCCTCCGTGTCCCATTCCTCCTCGCCTCTCCTTCTCACATTCTGCTTATAATACTGCCTCCCACCTCCTGCATCGCTTCCATACCCTGCTTCTTCACATATATCCCCCTTCGCCTTTCCCCCTTCCCTCCCCCGTGCATTCAATCTCTTTTGAGCAACCCCAACAACAACCCCCACATGCATTCCTCCCTCCTCTTCCCTGCCTACTTCCCTGCTTCGTCTCCGCTTCGTCTCGCCTCTCCCCTCCCATCCGCCCCCCTCCCCTCCCTTCCCATGCGGTCATCCAAGTACGACCGTCTCCGCATAGCGCACCACATACCGGCATGCTTCCAGTCGACTCAAAACGCACTTTCCCCCATCCCCTCCCATCCCCTCCTCCCCCCCCTCTTCCTTCCATCCTCTCCGCCCCCTCCCATCCCATGCAGTCATCCAAGTACGACCGTCTCTGCATAGCGCGCCACATACCGGCGGCACTGGCCTTCGCTCGCAAGCACCTGCTACTCCGCCACCGCCTCTTGCTCATCTGCCCCGACGGTACGCACTCCCCTCCCCCTCTCTTTGTGCAGTCTTCATTCAGGGGTGTTCTGCCCTCCGGTAACGGCTTGAACGGGACTTGGCTGTTCGATCCAGCTGTTAGTTCCCTGTGCTTTGAGACGTCTCAACATTTTTGAGACGCCTCATAGCGCGCCACATACCGGCGGCACTGGCCTTCGCTCGCAAGCACCTGCTACTCCGACACCGCCTGCTGCTCATTTGCCCCGACGGTACGCACTCCCTCCCTCTCTGTTTCTGCAGTCTTTTCCGGGAACACTCCGACTGTGATGGCTTGTGCTTTGTGGGCTGTGTGAAAACGGTATACCGCTCGTCTGCCCTGGCGTTATGCCACCCCTCTCTACCGCTCGTCTGCCCTGGCGTTATGCCATCCCTCTCTACCGCTCGTCTGCCCTGGCGTTATGCCATCCCTCTCTGCCGTGCAGCTGTTCAGCTATTCAGGGGTGTTCCTCCCTCCCTCCCTCGAATGACGGTTTGAACGGGACTTGGCTGTTCGATTCCAGCAGTTAGTTCCCTGAGCTGAGTACCTGCAGGTTCTCTTGTGCGGATTGGACCCACGCCTCGTTTTGAGTCGCCAAAAAATAACCTGCATGCTTTTCTCGCGCCTCCGTTCTGCGCTCCTCTTATCGAGTGATTATCGGGTGATTCTAGATGTTCCTGAAACTTCACCTTTTCTTCACCACCGTTTTGATCTCTTCTCTTCCTTCACCACCCCTTGCATTGGCATTGGCATGGCATGTGCAGGTGTGGACTTGAGTGTGTGCATGTGTGCTGCGCTCCTCTTAGCCCTGCCTCACGAACTCTCCCATGCCTGTAAGTTCTCTCTTCAAAACTTCTCCTTGAGTCTCTCATTCCTCCCCTTGCTCCCCTCAACCATCATTGCATGCCCTTCCCACCCCTTGTTTCGTCCATCGCTTCAATCGTCTGTTAACCGCTTCGTTGTGAGGTCACACTCCAACCGCACAGCAATTCTGTCTCTCTTCTCATATCCCCACCTGTCAAAGCACCACACAACAATACTACGTTCTCGTCTCTCCCGTCTCCCTACTCGCGCACAGCGGCAGCACCGCCAGCAGCAGCAGCAGCAGCAGCAGCAGCAGCAGCAGCAGCAGCAGCAGCAGCAGCAGCATCAGGGTCTGCCAGCGGCCAGGCGTATGCTGCACCTCCGCTCTTCCCTATGACCAAGGACGGGCTCAAGGCATGCCTGGCGTTCCTCTGCTCGCATGTCTCAGCCGCCATGCCATCCCGGGGCAACTTGAAGCAGGTGCTGCAGGCGCTGCTCCCCTCAGCTCCTCCTCATAGCAGGACAGTGCAGGAGGATTAGCGAGATTGTAACACTGGTTGTACCTCGTATCGTATTGTAACTCCTGACTTGAGCACCACCAAAGTGTGTCCTCCTGGATCCTTACTTAGAGCACCATGAGGCAGCAACACCAGGGCATTCCTTTCTGACATGGAGCCCATGTTTCTGGAATGAGCAGAAGGATTGTGCCAGCTGGCTGATTTACTGAAGCTCTAAGGGTGGAAGCGGATTGCGCTATCACAAAGATGTACAAATGAATAAAGAAACAAATGAGTAAACAAACAAATGATACGGTAATCTGGCAGCTCCCCCACCTAGACAACTGGGTGCCTTTCCACTGAGAATCTCAGATCCTAGCTCTATTGCATGCATGCTCTAACAGGACGCACTAGTAGAATCGTTCAAAAATAATTCCTCCCCTCATCTTCACACAAGCCGAAGAAAGTCACGGAGCAGCCGCGGATCCCGGAGCAGCAGCCGAGCCAGGCGCGCTCACCGAACCAGGTGCGCTCTCCGAACCTGGCGCACCTTCCGAACCAGGGGCGCCGGCTCTGGCAGCCGCCTCTGCTGCCTCCGCGGCAGTCTCCGCGGCCTCCGCAGCTGCTGCCTTCTCCGCCACAATCCTGTCCGCCTCCGCCCTGCGCGCCTGCGCGGCCTTCAGCACCGCCCGCAGCTTCGTCAGCCGCACCGCCGCGGCCTTCGCCACCTTTCCGCCGCCTTCGCCGCGTCTTCCGCTGCTTTCGCGTCCGCCTCCGCCTTCGCCGCCGCCGCCTCCGCCGCAGCCGCTTTGTCCAACAGAGCCTGCTCGTCCGGCGTGAGGGTCACCTTGAGAATCCGCGCCGCCTCCGCGGTGGCCCTGGTTGCCTCCGCGCTCGCGGCGGACTCTTCCGCGGATGCGCTCTGCGCGTCCTTATTCAGCTCCGCCGCCTTCTTTTGCTCCGCCTTTGCCTTCGCGTCCGCCGCCTTCGCCGCTCCGCTGCCTTTGCCCTTGCTCTTGGCGGCGTCCGTTGCCGCCTTGGTCGCGTCGTCGGCGGTCTTCTGCTGTGCGCCTGCCGCCGCTGTGGCCTTGTCTTTCCGCACCCTCGCCTGCGCGGCCTTTTCCAGCGCCTTTTGCGCCTTCTCCTGCGCCTTCTGATACTTGTCGGCAGCTTCCGCTTTCTTCTTCAGCCCCACGGTCGCCTGCTTCGCGTCCGTCGCGTTTTTCCGCGCCTGCTTCGCGGTGGCCTTTGCAGCGATTGCCGCCGCGTTTGCCGCCTGCCAATCCGCTGCTGCTTTCACCGCCGCCGTCTCCGCTGCTGCCACGTTGGCGGTGGCAGTTGCTTCTTCAGCGGCGCGAGCATCGGCTACGGCCTTTGCTGCGTCCAGATCAGCAGCAGCCTGATCCGCCGCGGCTCGTAAGCGAATCGCGATCTCCTCCAGCGTTTCCTGGATCTCCGTAAGACGAATGCGCCTCGCCTCCGCAGCACGAGGTGCAATCGCCAGAAGGAATATGACGCAGAAAGAAAGGGTTATAGCGAAGCTTGAGCGTGCCATGATGGTTCTACGGGATACTACTAGAAGGGATTTTTTATGTTGCTGAGCCTTGGTGAAAAGAAAGTTGGGACGTGGTGAGTGTTGAGCTCGAATTGTGAAGCTGTGAGGGACCAAAACTATGGAGGTAGGAATTTGTATTCTCAGCAAAATCACATGTGCGCTTCGGCACAGTGCTCCTCCAAATTCCCTGGTGGCAGCGCGTTGACGAAATGACAATTCCGGTAGATTCTGCTTCGCCAACACAACACGATCGCGAAAGAGCACGTTTGTGGTTGAGCCGTCACAATTTCCCTCACAAATCCCACCAACCGTGTTTTTCAAGGTGCTCCACCGGAACCAGTGGCAGGCTGGGCCGCTTGAAGCTCGACGACTAATATTGGGTGGTTTGGGGGGAGGCGATGCCAGCAATCATGTCGTTGCAAAGTGTAACACAACGTGGCCACAGGTGGACCCGCCCTGCGTTGCCAACTCAAGACAGCTTAGTCTGAAAGCGACGTGGAACTCGCTAATAGATGGCGCACAAGAACGATAAATATTCTGATTGCTGTAAACTATAGAGATGCACAGTCGTCCGTTCATAAACTGAATTGCAGGTGTAACCATAAGAGCATAGTGAACGTAAGTAGTGGTTTTAATATCACAGACATATTTTTTGTACCAATGCATCGTATCTAATAAAAGTTACTGACAGGAATGGTGTTCTCCACAATCAAGGTTGTTCAAAATAATACTGGTTGTGCCTTGCGAACATCCTCTCCTCTGATTAACGAATCTTTAAAAAACGCTTCTCTGCCCAAGCCGCGTGTTTGCGCGGGAAGCACCCGCTTGGTCCCAGGCTTTGTCAGAAGGAAGAGTGATTGCAATATACTATACGCGGTTGCTCCCTTCACGCCGACGTACACCTGAATAAGATTGGGGTTTCGCCTCCATATTCTAGCAGTGCGAAGAACGCTGTTGATAATTGATTTTCTCCACTCGTGGCTCGCTTTCTCTTTAGATTTTTACGTACTACGTAGCGTAACTGATGTTTAAGTGTTTTCAGCCAAAATTTGATCTTTTAGGGGGGTATGCAGAATGACACTTCTCCTTCAAGCCTTCTGGGTGCTATTTCTTGTTGCTTGGTTGATTGGGTGCTATGTACGAGTGTTGTTGTTTGGTTGGTCTGCTCTGCTGGCCAGTAATCTAGACCAGACCCTTGCCCAGATCAAACAGGGTTCCAGGCCATCCACGAAGGAGATGCACGCAACCGTCAGGCTTCATTTCACGGGTCGGACTCCCTTCCCTACGCTATACCATGAATTACGGTCATTCGTTCGCTCAAACCGGATTCTAGTCGAGCTTTGCTCCAAGGTAAACGTGCTTCGTGTTTCCCGCCTCGCTGCCAGCCATGCCTGCCAGTCACGCTGAAGCGCTGTCTCCACAACGAGTCGCATCGAACGGAGGCGCACAGGCTTCTCTGATTTGCCACAGCACGGTCCCTCCAATCATGACACAAACCGAAGGTAACTGCCACTGTGCGACTCTTCCAGCGAACGATCACCGAGATCACGAAGTTGCGATGATCGCCGCCAGAGGCAACGTCGCGTCGCCGGCCTTCGCACCGGAAACGCCTTCGCGGAGCCAATCAGCTAGGACAGGAAAATTGAGCCCTAGAATCTCGAGTTCAGAAATCCAAGGGATGCGCAACCACGCCCTTTCCGAAGGGTCGGCAAGAGACTTCGGCGCATCGCATTCGTTTGGTGCGGCGGTCGAGGTAGCAGGTCGAGACCAGCGCTCACAGATCGGCGGAGCGGAAGGGGGAGCAGAAGCGGGAGCGGAGAGGGGAGCGGAGAGAAGTGCGGAGGGGGAAGCGGGGGGGGCCACGGGGGAAGCGGAAGTTAGGGCGGCGAAGGGGGAACCGGAAATTAGGGCGGTGGAGGGCGGCGGTAGTACCTCGAGTCGAGGCCGGCAGGTGCTGATTCGGGTGAAGCGGAAGCGCGGGGAGGCGTCATCTGACGTGATCGTGGTGGAGGCGGCACCCAGGGGCGGCAGAACCAAGCTTGCGCGCAGCCACGTGGAGGCCCTCCGGGCTCTGAGTCTGGGCGGGGGAGGCGGAGGAGGCGGGGGAGGCGGGGGAGGTGGGGGAGGCGGGGGAGGTGGGGGAGGCGGGAACGAACGGGATGCGCGGGTGGCGCGGGAGGGACGGGGAAGCGCGGTCGAGGAGGCAAAGACTCTGGAGGGTCGAGGAGAAGACGCGTCTGCTTCCACTGGTCCACGTGCGTCGCCGCTCATTTCTTCCCCCGTCCTTCCCCCTTTTTCGCAACCTCCCCCACCCTCCGCTTATTATACATCCCCTTCCCCCACATTTTGTTCCTGTCTTCCGCTGTTCTTCCCCCCCACCCCGGTCTCCCATCCTCCGCCCGCTTCCTTACCCCCCTGTTCTCTCCCTTTCTACCTCCCCGCTTTTCCCCCACCCCTGCGCCCCCTTCCCCTCTCCCCTTCCCCGCATCTGATCCCGCTTTGATGCAGCGCCCGCGCGCGGGGGCGCGTCGGCGGGGCGGCGGCTGGTGTTCCGGCGGGTGGGGTCCATGCCGTGGGCGAGCCTGCGCCACGCAGGCGCGGCGGACAGAACGTTCCGCCGGGTAAAGCTGCAGCAGCAACAGCAGCAGCAGCAGCAGCAACAGCAGCAGCAGCAGCAGCAGCATGGGGAAGAGGGTGCGTCTCATCGTGCATCTCCTCTCGAGCAGCAGCGGCGGCGGCTGCAGGGGCAACCAGATGGCTTGTCCGGCGCTGCTGCTGATGCAACGGTTCAGCGGCAGTTTGCAGCCGCGTCCGCGTTTGAGGCCGTCCCGTTTGAGCAGCAGCGGCGCAGTGCGAAGGGCGGCAGCCCGCCCCGACTGCGCGTGGCGGCCAGCCGAGCGAGAGAGGTGCGGATGGTGCGAATGATGCAACTGATGCGACGGCCATGGGCGGATATGGCTTGGGGAAGAAGGGGGAAAGGGGGAAGTGGCGAGTGGGAGGGGAGAGAGGGAGGGCTGGGAAGAGGAGAAACGGTTGATGTTTCGATGGTTGGAAGGCTGCATGGGTTGAGCCGCTCGGGTTGGGATGCTCCTTTGTATGAAAACACTGACTGACTGTTGTGCCTGTCCGTCCCTTCCTCTTGTCCGTCTCTTCGCCCTGTGTATTCTCCCGTACCTCCCTGCCCCAGGTGTCTAGAATGCAGCGCCATGCTCTGCTGCAGCAGAAGAGGGAATGCCCTGTCTTTTCTCTTCCTGCCACCGCTGCTACCCCTGCCACTGCTGCTGCTGCTGCTGACGTTGCTGGAGGGAAGGGAGGAGGAAAGAAGGAAGAGGACAAAAGGGATGGGCATGAAGGTTCAAACTTGGGAAAGGGAAAAGGTGTTGAATACGGTTCTTTGGAAAGGGGGGAAGGAGGGAAAGGGATGGAGGCTGCGAAAGGTGGAACAAGAGGGGATGAGAAGGAGGAGGCGGAGGGGGAGGAGGAGGAGTGGATGCGGCTGTTCAATGTGGTGGATGCAGAGCAGGTGCGGGCAGCGGAGGAGGAGGCTGCTAGGAAGGCCAAGAGGAGAGAGCAGGCACTCAGGTGTGTGTGTGTGTGTGTGCTCGCGCGCGCGCGCACGCGAGCGCATGCTTGCGTGCGTATCCTTGCTCGCATTGTCCTTCCTTCCCGATACGCTGTACCATTGAGGCGCATCTCAAGTCGCCCGCACTCCTCTGACTGACTGCCTGACTTTCTTCCTTCCCTCCTCTCTCCCTCCCGCCCTACCCCCCTTTTTTTTTAAACGACGTACGCCGCATGGTGGGGCAGGGAGCGAGAGGCGAGGGAGGGGCAGCTGGCGTGCAACTACCTGCCACTGCTGAGAGAGTTCCTTCCAGAGGCTGCACGGGAGATGGAGGAGAAGATGGTGCAGGAGCAGCAGCAGAGAGGCATTTCTGCTGATGCTGCCACAGGTAAGACCTCCTTCCTTGCTTCCTACGTTTCTGAAGTATGCGCTTCTGTACAGTTGGTGTCACATCAATCTTGAGTCGCCTTAGTCAGTCTCGAGTCTTTTCTGTGTTGTGATTCTTTGTGAGTCTTACGAGTTTTGTAAGGAGTGGTGCCGTCAATGAGCTGACGACAACGACCAGGTGATGACAACAATAATCGTGATGCATGATGATCGTGATTGTTACGGTGTCGAAACATGCAGTGTGGTGCATGAAAGGGATGTGCATGTGTGCGCAGTCACGCATCCCAAAACACAAAATGACAAAAAGAAATCCTCCTATTTTTTTATACCACCCTCCCGCATCAGGGCAATGGGGTCTCCAAAATTCCATTGCTCCACAGCAGCAAGCTGAGCAGGAGCAGCAGGACACGGATTCAGACGATGTGTGTGACCTGTACTGCATGGAGGGGTGCCTCTCTGATGACGATGACGACATGGATGGACCGCTGGGCTCGTACCTCCACCACCACTCTGCACCGTACCCAACGTGAGTGGGCAGTGAGCATGGGCAGCAAAAGCATGGGACATGGGGCCAGCAGCACAGGCCTGCTCTTGAAACAGCAGCATGCAGAGGTGCATGCGCTTTGTGGGGTTGCAGATAAGATTTCGAAAGTGGAACGTGATTTTTTCTGGGCGGGAACGGAGGGGTTTCTTTGTGGTGACTGGAGAGCCTGCAGAGACTGCTCGTCTCAAGAAAGATATGTGCTCTTGGTGCTCTCACAATGCCTCACAACATGTTTTGTTTCTTTCCCTTCTGCCCTCGGTCTGTGTCCTCTGTCCCAGGCTGCGCATATGTGACAACCATGTGTTTGACGAGAGTGGGGAGCCCTTCACTCTCAGCAAAGGGGACGCGCTTATTTCAGACGGTGACAGCGACGACTCAAATGGTATGCTGCTGCAGCCTGTATCGTCAATGGCGCTGTGCTGTAGCAGCAAATGGTGCTGTCTGGTTTTTTTTTTTTTTTGGTGATGATTTTCCTGATTTTTGCTGTTGTGCTTCGTCGTCTTCTTGCGGTGTGCATTGTTTCGGCGCTTGATGGTGCAGCGGAGAATAACCCTCTGAACGACTACGGAGATGAAGAGGACGATGACGAGGACGAGGGCATGTGGGGTGCGGACGCCGATGGTGATGATGATGACTATGAGTACGAAGAGTATGAGAGCTATGCTGGCCGGGATGATGATGATGACGACGATGATGATTTTTGACGTCCGAAATGACATGGCGGGGCAGCTCTCATCAACATGGCTGTTGTGTGATTTTGCGGAAGGCATTATCTTGCCCACGTGATTGTTAAACAACAAGTGAATTGCTCTTGTCAGTAGCATGCCCCTTTTGCTATGCAGGTGTTCACAGGTGTTTGGTCCATAAAACATTTTGGCATCACCACGCCACCACCAGCCAGAATCACCACAGCCGTTGATACGTCCAATGGAAGGTCAGGATTCAACTGTGCCACAACCTATTCAGCCAGCAGCATGAGTTGAGCTTGCCCATGAAATAAGTGTGGTGTGAAGGAAACCAGCCACTCAACAGGTATGAATGGGACCTCCCGAACTGTCTGCTGTATTCTTCTGGCTGAACTTTGTTTCTGATACCACCGGCCCCGTACACCCTAAGGACGCGTCACATCCCTCGATCGATCCTGCGCAGGGTCGATTTTGGATTCGGTTTAGAAAGTTTTAAAACAGTTTTAAATGCAATACTTGGGAGTTTTAGCGTGTCGGACGATCGATCTTCCTCGATTTTGCACGATCGATCGAGGGAGGTGACGCGTTCTAAGGAAAAACTGGAGAAGATTGTGCCTGCACAAGTTCCGGATCCACTAGGAGAAAAACATTTACAATGTTACAGTACATGGCTCTAGCAGAAGCAGGGTGAGCAGCCCCACACACAGTCAACAGGAGCTCATCTCCATCCACAGCAAAGCTCGAGAGTGCAGAAGGTTTAAAACAAGAACCAACAGCCGGGTTCAACATTCAGCAGCATGCGTGCAGCATGGTGAGCCAACAGCATTGTCGCGGTCATCAAGATGCTCTTATCTCCCTATCACTCTTACAGCAGCTGGTGTGGCAGCGTCAGCCACAACACTACAGCAACAGCAGTGCAGCAGCAGGTACCGTAAGTGGCAGTAGTCGGAGCAGCGGTGGAGCCAGCGACAGCACCAGCGGCAACAGCGGGAGCAACAGCGGCAGAAGCAGCAGGAGCAGGAGCAGCAACAGCAAAGCCAGCAGCAGCAGCAGCTGTAGAGCACTACTTCTTAGGCAGGTTGGTGAGTCGGCTGTAGAGCAATCCAGGAGCAGGGGTGCCATTGGCTTCGATGTGCTGCTCCCACATCTCCCTGCACTCTTGCACCACCTGCACCAAGAGACACGTGGAGAAATGACATGCAAAGGAGGGCAAGAAGTGGATTATTTAATCGACTAAAAATCAAGCTGGGAGTAGGAGTGGCATTCTCCTTGATGTGCTGCTCCCACATCTATCTCCCTGCACTCTTGTACCACCTCCACCGCAAGGCAAATGGCATGGTATGGTATGCCACGCAGGGCAAGACGCGACATGGGCAGTGGCATGAGGGCACGGCATATCACAGCATGAGAGCAGCTGGTTTGGGAGAAAAGGTAAGGGAGACATTTAAAAATCAAGGAGTGGTACAGATGAGGTCACAACGTGGCATGCCATGAGGAACGACGGCATGGCAGAGGCCGGCAGGCAGGCGGGTGGAGTGGAGTGGAGTGGAGTGGAGTGGAGTGGAGTGGAGTGGAGTGGAGTGGAGTGGAGTGGAGTGGAGTGGAGTGGAGTGGAGTGGAGTGGAGTGGAGTGGAGTGGAGTGGAGTGGAGTGGAGTGGAGTGGAGTGGAGTGGAGTGGAGTGGAGTGGAGTGGAGTGGAGTGGAGTGGGGTCCATTAAACGAGGCGAGGGGGCAGCAGACAACGCATGAACAGGAAACAGTGGGGGAGAATGATGTGGGTGCATTATTGCACGTGCTGCTGCACACTGTGGGGTGCACTAGAGCAGTGTATGCCCCCTTGCCTGTCCCCACTGCAGCACCATCGGTCTATGACCCATGGCTTGCAGCACCACCCGTCTGTCATCTGTAGCTTGGAAGGTAGCTTGGAAGGTAGCTTGGAAGGTAGCTTGCACAGTAGCTTGCACAGCGCAATCCAGCCCAGCTCACCTCCTTGGCTGCCTTCTTGGGAATGCCTTCACGCAGGTTGACCACCTTGTCCACCACCTCAGGCTGCACGTGCGATGGCATGGAATGGTGGGGTGGAGAATGGGGATTAGGGCAATGCGAATGGGTGCAGAGGGGTAATGAGTGGTGGCACGAAGGCAAGCCTTCACGCAGGTTCACCACATTGTCTACCACCTCAGGCTGAACGTGCAATGGCAGGGCACGAATGGTGGGGGAAAGGGGTGGGGGTACAAGGTGGAGTGGTGGGAAGGGTTAACGAGGAGTGGTGAAACGATGGAATGCCTTCACGCAGGGTCACCACCTTGTCTACCACCTCAGGCTGCACGTGCGATGGCATCGCACGAATGGTGGGAGCGGAAGGTGTGGGGCGTGGGCACAGATGGGGTATTTGGCAGGGAAACGAGGACGGGCGAGGAGGAGGGTTGGTGACACGGAGGAAAGCCTTCACGCAGAATCATAGAAGCTCCCCCGGGCAATAAAACTGGAAGGCCCCTCAAAAGCATTATCATAGAACGAAAGCCAGGATTCTGAACACCAAGGCCGGGCCTTACTCTCCATAGATCCCAGAGCTGCACAAGAGCAGTGGCAAGAGCTTTTGGGAACTCCCAAAGTGCTGAAGAGCAGCTGCATGTAATTGAGAGAGTGGAGGTCTTCGCGTCGTCTGATGCCCTTTTCTGAGTCGGCAGAAAAAAAAAAAAAACACCCTAGAAGAAGTCACCTCAAAGGTTGCTGCGAGAGAACACTTACGGGGCAGTCAGGCGTGTTGGAGAGCAGCTGTGTGTAGTTGAGCGTGAAGGTCTCCGCATCGTCTGATGCCGCAAGGGACCTCAAATCCGCAAGTGGCTGCACCCGCTTGTCCAGTTTCTGCAGGCAGGGCGGAGGAGGGGAACGGGGGGCAGGGTATTGGGGGCAGGGGATTGGGGGTAGGGTGGTGGGGGGAGAGGTGGTGGTTTTTGAGGGAAGAAAGTGAGGGGAATGGCGGAAAGGGAGAGTGGAGGACCGTTCTAGCGCACAGGCGGGGGTGCGTAATCTAAATCAAGAGCCAACAGTGGCAGCACTTTTATTATTGGCCGGCTCAAGGGGCAAGGGTCAAGGGGCAAGGGTCAAGGGGCAAGGGTCAAGGGGCAAGGGGCAAGGGTCAAGGGGCAAGGGTCAAGGGGCAAGGGTCAAGGGGCAAGGGTCAAGGGGCAAGGGGCAAGGGGCAAGGGGCAAGGGGCAAGGGGCAAGGGTCAAGGGGCAAGGGTCAAGGGGCAAGGGTCAAGGGGCAAGGGTCAAGGGGCAAGGGTCAAGGGGCAAGGGTCAAGGGGCAAGGGTCAAGGGTCAAGGGTCAAGGGGCAAGAGTCAAGGGGCAAGAGTCAAGGGGCAAGAGTCAAGGGGCAGCATGCAGGTCACACTAGGCAGTGCTGAGAATTCTTTGGAGATGTAACCGGTATCTGCTTTTGAAGTAACCATTTCTGCTGTGAGACATAGCCGTACCTGCTGCGAGATGTGTACCTGCTATGATATGTGGTGGTACCTGCTGCAAGTTGTAACCGTACCTGCTGCACAATGAAACCGTACCGCTGCAAGGTGTAACCGTACCTGCTGCAAGCTGTAACCATACCTGCTGCACGATGAAACCGTACCGCTGCAAGGTGTAACCGTACCTGCTGCAAGTTGTAACCGTACCTGCTGCACAATGAAACCGTACCGCTGCATGTTGTAACCGTACCTGCTGCGAGATGTACTCCTGGAAGTACTCCCTGATGCTGTCCTCGTCCTTGCTCATCTGATTGATGGTTGCCTCTGTTATGCTTTGGCGCTGTTGTGCATGCACCAGGGGGCAAGTGCAGGAGGAAGGAGAGGAGTATTTTCAGTCCACTCGGAGGTCGCCTATGGAGCTGTTATGCATGCACCAGGGGGCAAGTGCAGGAGGAAGGAGGATAATATTTTCAGTCGACTCAGAAGTTGATATGTTGCGCTGTTATGCATGCACCAGGAACAGGTAAAGCGCAGGGCAAGGAGGAAACGAGCATAGATCATACACGGCATTGCATGTGCTCATACACACGGACGGGGAATACACGTGCATATGTATTGCCTGGATGCATTTTTAATCCCTTTACATTTACCTGCAGTAGTAGCAGCAGCAGCAGCAGCAGGGCACCGACTGCATGAGCAGGTCTACGTAATCCACAACCGTGCACTTCAAGCACAAACATATCCACACCCACACCCACACTCACCACTATCCGTACACACATGTGCATGCACAACTGTCATACACAAAATCCCCCCCCCACCGTTGCTAGCAGCAGCAGCGCACTCACCGACTGCATGAGCAGGTCCACATAGACCACCACCGTGCGCTCCAAGCACACCTCTATCCACACCCATACCCACAACCAGAATCAGCAAAGGAGATCCCCCCATCGCTAGCAGCACTGCTGCACGGTGCACTCACCGACTGCATGAGCAGGTCGACATAGACCACCACCGTGCGCTCCAAGCACACCTCCGCAAAGCGGCGGAACGAACGGTCCTCTATCCACCTGTGGTGCAACGTGAAAGCGAGGGGAGGAGGGAGGGAGGGGAGGGGGGGAGGAGCGAGGGAGGGCGGAGAAGGAGGATATAGGGTGGTGTGGAGAGAAGGAAACGACTCCCTACACCAGAATGTACGTGTGGATGTCCTGGCTGAAAGTAATCCTAGAGAAATTCTCTTTGAGATGACCAAAAGTGAATTTCTAGGTCAGAACAAAAACACTTGTTCCTTTCTGGCAGTGAGAGCGCATCCGTCACCTGTTGATGTCCCAGAAGTAGTTTTCAAAATATGTTTTTGGGATGACATGACAAACAGCAAGTGTTGAAGTCACACAAAAGCACGGAATCCTGTGTCGCAGTGAGAGTGCATCCGTCACCTGTTGATGTCCTGGAAGTAGGTAGGTAGTCCTCGAGAGCGTAGTAGCAATGAAGGTCATCTGTGAGTCGACTCACAGCTGAGCTGAACTTATTTCTCACCTGTTGATGTCCTGGA